TTTTCCAACCTAGATGATTCTATGATTCTATGATTCTAACCACTTAGGTGCTCCTTCTGCTTTCAGTGCCCTAGCCTGGCTAAAACCAAAACCTTTTAAAATCTAGAAACAGACAAAAAAAAATCCATTAACTTCTTAATAGGCACATACAAGTAACTGCCTTCTTTTTCTATATGCAGGGGTCCAGGAAAATCTGACAAATGGAAAATCTAGAGCTTACTTACTTTCATGTATCTTATAAAGGTCCTCACTTTACTCCAGTGAGTTATCACATGATACCTCTGGTTTCTGATAAAGTCCCTAACATTTTTTCCTAAATTAAGCTATTATGATGACTATACCAACTATTCTTTCTTTGAAGAAATTGGGGTGGCTATACAATTCTTTATATTGTATGTTCATATTGTATATACATATACCTTTGCAGTTAAAATACATAAGACTTAGTTTTGTTCCTTACCAAGTCAATGAAATTTCAGCAGATGCTGGACTGTACCCATTGTGCAGAAAACTGCTAAAGACCTGTTCTCCAGTACATATGGCCGGAGAGCTACTTTTGGAATACGGTTGCATCCAAACTGCCAGCTCTTTTTTCATCTGTTGTGTTCTGGATGCAAATCCAGGTATTTGGTCACACACCTCCTGGTCACCTGTGATGTTACTACAAAAATGACTTCTATAATAGCTCTTCTTAGAGCAGTGGAAAGTCCATGTCATGCCAGATACAGGAGTGCAAATGCCGTCCTCAGATCTACAGGCAATACTATTCCACTGTATGTTTCATTACCATTGGCCAAACCCCTGCAGATGTCTCTTCTTGAGAGGGGAGTTTACCATTGTTTCACTACTAGGCTTCCTGTCCCTGAAAAGCTTCTTGCTGAATGTGGCTTCCTCACTCTTTTTCCTGACAGTATCTTCTATGGATGGAGGCAACAACAGGACATGAGATTTTCACACTGGTGGTCCTGACAAGGGTATAGCTCCTCTACATATCTCAACAACCCATCTCTTTATGCCAAGGATTCCCTCTGTCTCAAAAAAGCACCGTCCTCCAGCAGTTTCTGTGCTCTCTGTCAATCTTTCCATAAGATAAAAATACCAGCAGCGGCACCCACTAAAACCCAGGAATAAGACTACTCTTTACTTTATTGTTTATCCAGGCCTGAAGAGGAAGGATTAGAGAAGGCTTAATCCCAAGTTTTCCGGTAATTTAATTGTTTAATGAAAATCTGTTTTTCTCTTCTGTACTAGGTGAAGCAGGACTTCCTGGCAGTCCAGGAAAAGATGGTGCAAATGGAGAGAAAGGAGAACGAGGTGAGAGAAGAAGTGTTTCAATTTATTATTTGTCTATCAACTGCTCTCCTTGTGTTTGTGAGCACTGGACGTGCTATACATTCTAGCTGTAGAGAAAGTACTATAAAGGTTAAAAAAAACCTTTTTCCAGAAGTAGTAGAGGCTGCACACATATGCTGACAATACAAGAGGAATATGCCACCTCAAATTATCCCACTGCCTCTGATGGATGCCCTACAATTTGTTCACTCAGCGTGTTATCCTACTTTTCCCATCTCTGATCCTTTTGTCAGCTGCTGAGGAAGACACCGCATCTGCAGCTACCTCAGGAAAGTGAGGCTCCTGTAGCTATGTATGCAACTTCAGGGAAAAGGACTTCTTTTAAAAGAAATTGTAGAAGACACAAGTTATACACCTAAAAATACAGTAGATCCTGTATACTTCACCTATTTAGCCAACCCATGCATATGCAGCATGTCTTCTGTGTCATATGGATGTACATGTGCAGAGTGAGTTGTGCATAAAAGCAGGGAGTCAGCTGTTGTGCAAGTGGCATCACATCATTCTGCACAAATTCAATAACCTTGAGATGCTGGACTTGTGTATCCTTAGAGTAAATGTACACAGGCAATGTTTATATCCGAAAGCATGGAAGCCTGCCAGGCAGTGTCCAGGTTCTCCAAAATCCTGAAGATGACCCTGAGAAATAACATATGGTATATGCATTGCATGGGAGTAATTACAAGCTCAGACTTTTCTCCAGTCCATTAGAAATGACCCCAGTCCTTGAAGGAGCGTGAGACATGAGGCCACAAATGTTGTTTAAAATTATCAAAGCTAGTTTCTTTTCCTGTGTTCTTGTCCTGATGGACCTTTGCAGCTTTTCCCAGAGGCTCACCATACAACCTTACCTGTTTCCAGTTCACTGCTGCTGTTAAATACTCTCAATTGTAAATTGAGAACAGTGAGAACAGTAAACTGCAAATACAGCATTATTCCCAACATCAGAAGCCAGAGGCTCTTATGCAGAAATTATCAGCTTATTTTCCTGATTAACAGAGTACATGATCATTATGGTATCTTTTGTCTATCAACTGCTAACATGCCCTTCACATCATCAGACCTTCACCTTCAAACCCTTGTGCAGCAATCAGGGGATTTTCAAAGGCTTTGAGCTTCAGTCCAAGAGTGGATGAAGGATAAATGGAGCATGTGGTAGCAAATAACAAGGACAAAAAACCTTTAGTTGCACTGCAGTAGCAATCTAGGTAACCCAAGCAAAGTTCCATCATGTAGAAATTACAGAAACACACGGCAAGCAAGTTCTGGGTGTTGTCCAAATAGAACCCTCCTCTGATTAAATTGTGAACCATCTCCCCCATTTCGTATACCAAAGGCTGAAAACAGGTGTCTGGACAGATGCTGTTGTGCCTGCTACCATCAGCCTGTAGACAAATCACACCTTCCTTTCTTTGAGCTTGTTCTTGCTGCTCTCGGTCAGGGCACCTGTTTTCTAACACAATAGCAGGTTCCTCAGATGTTATGCTTGCCCTGCACTTAAATGTATGAGAATTTGCATGTACAGTGAGCACAGAATGTACGGTGGTGACACAGACCTACACATATATGTCTTCGTGCTGAAACTCATGTTGTGTCCCACTAATCCGGTGGAAGATCACAAGAAAGTGTTGGTTTTTTTTTTTTGTTTTTTTTTTCATTTAGGAGCCAATGGGACTGTTGAAGAGAAGGGGAACAAAGGAGATAAAGGAGAAAGAGGACAACCTGGGAAACTGGGACCAAAAGGAATTATGGGGTCAGTGGGTTACAAAGGTCAGAAGGGAGAGCTGGGACTGCAAGGACAAAAGGGGTTAAAAGGAGACATTGGGCCCATAGGTCCAAAAGGGACAAAGGGTGAAATGGGCCATCCCGGAAGAGTTGGTTACCCAGGGCCAATTGGCCTGACTGGTAATCCAGGTCCTAAAGGTAATACTGGAGATCTGGGGCCACAGGGTAATCCAGGAGTTCAGGGGGAAAGAGGCTTGAAAGGAGACAGAGGAGATAAGGGGAACGTAGGTCCCCCAGCAGTCCTGCCAAGGAGTGCTTTCAGTGTCGGCCTTACAACCACCACCAAATTCCCCGCCCCGAATCGCCCGATCAAGTTTGACAAGGTGCTGTATAATAGCTTAAATGACTACAACTCAGTTACTGGCAAATTCACCTGCAAATACCCCGGCGTTTACTATTTCACCTACCACATCACTGTCTACTCGAGGAACGTCCGAGTGGCTCTAGTTAAAAATGGCATCAAAATGCTGCACACGGTGGACAGGTACCAGAGTGGAGAGGACCAGGCCTCAGGAGCTGCCATCCTCGAGCTGCAGGGAGGAGATGAGGTGTGGCTGCAGGCTCACCAAGGAGAGACTTTCAATGGGTTGTTTGCAGATGCTGATGATGATACCACCTTCTCTGGGTTCCTCCTGTTCAGCACCTCCGACCCGCCGGGAGCCGCTGCCGTCGCCTGCCACCTAATTCCACATTATCTGTGAATGCTGTATGTCTGTGTCCTTCAGCCCTCCCTAATAAAGTTGTTACCTATGGGCCAATTTCCACTGTATTCAACAGAAAACAGAAATCCAGGGAGGTACGCCAAGGGCTGGAAGGGAGACATAGGACTGCAGGGCAGGTTGGGACCAACTAGGCATCTCCCTAAAAGTTGAGTAAAGTTTTTTGGTTTGTTTTTTTTTTTTACTGAAGTCATCACAGTGGGAATGTGTAGGATCACACTACTTGTATCTGTAGGAAACCAGGCCTCATTATGCACACAACTGCTCATCACACAACTTAATTGTGCTGAAGTTTTCATGACCAGCTGCTAAAACAGAGCTCAAGGCTTCAGAGCCATACTCAGGAGAGTTTGAATTAAATGCCTTCTTGTCCCAGTCACAAGGTACCAGGTGTTTATTTATTAAACTGTCCTAATCTACTGTTGTCAGCTTTGTTTTTTAGAACTCAGAATAAAAAAAATTCCTAATATGCATAAACGATTTTTATGGCTGCAGTTGCAGGAGAGTTGGTTTCAAGAATGGCTTTGGCACAAGAGATGACAACTCTTAAGAATCTACAGTGCTGGGCTTGACACATTGCCGGTTTGGTGACCTTCTGTAGTTATACAGGGGTGCAAACACCAGTTCTGAAGGACAAAGGTTTTAAAAGGAAGTGGGATGAAATAAAAGATAAAATTTCAAGTTCTGGAATTATGACGTGTGTCCCTGCCATTTTGTATAAACGTTAAGCAGCAGTTACTTCCAAGCCAGTTTATATCTTTCTAGGTGGCATGCGTAGACGGACTTGAAACTTGGTTAGTTTGCACCCAACCATTCAAAAATAATTTTTAAACTTGGCATTAGTGTAGTTTGATACCTCCACAGGGGCTGCTTGCTCTGTGGCACAAGTGAGTTTTGTTGTAGCTGGGTAGTTTTTAAAGCTTTTAAATCTGGTTCTTTGCTCTCTGTGTAGCCAAAGGTCTGAAATAGAGCAAAATGGAATGAAAGGGGGAAGTGCCATGTGGATTCTCTGATGTGGGCAGATGTTCAATGTCAGTACAAAAATACAGCATAATGCTGCTGTACTTCCGAATTAGCAGGTGCAAAACAAATTCTCCCAAATGAAGGATAATCTTTAATCAACACTGAAGCAGACATACTGGAGAACCGACCGAGAGGTATTTCCTGTGCCATAAAACTTTAATTTCTGTGAATTTTCTCAGAATTTTTTTTTTCCCCTTTTCCCTTAAAACTCAGAAATACAACAAAAGAAGCTTAAGTCTCACTCCCTCCCCTTAAACGAGAAAAAAGCAGAGATGCTAATGGACACGGGTCAGCATCATGGAATTCAGCACAAACGCCATGTAGGAGCGTGAGGCCCGCCTTCCCATCACTCCCAACACTGCTGGGGAGGCAAGGAAACATGGACGCGTCCCCACAGTTGCTGAACCCCGAGTATGGCTCACAGGCCCGAAATGAATACGGCGAGGTGGGTTTCTTCAGGAAAAATGGCTGCACTTCTCGTGAGCTGGATTACTGTGAGGGAGATAGCAGGGCACTAAGAGGGAAGGGCTATGCGAATTTTTAGGTAATTTTTTTCCTGCAAGCCACAGGTCCTAAGTTTGTGTCACAGAAGCAGCCAGACCAAAAAACGCGTTAAAATGGACATAGGTTTAACCGGAAAACACGCAGGAGAAACTTCAGTCGGCG